GCCTCCCAAAGTGCTGGGATTACAGGCTTGAGCCACCGCGCCCGGCCACTTTTACAATTTCTTTATAGAAACAAGGTCTTGCTATGTTGCCCAGGCTGGTCTCAAACTCCTGGCCTCAAGCGATCCCCTTGCCTTGGCCTCCCAAAGTGTTGGGATTGATTACAGGCATGAGCTACTGTGCCCAGCCTTCACTTCTTAATAATGTTGCAATAGCAATTATATTTTGACACAAGTTTTGAAGGGGATATTCACCCTATAGCAAGAGCTTACTAAGGGAGAAGGGGCTATTCTTTTAGCTAAGATGACCCAGTGGGGACTCACTGAGGGTGTGGTAGCATCTGAGCTGGAACCAGAATGATAGGGAGGCAGCTGTGTCCATAGAAAACCCAGGGGACAAATATTCCAGGCAGAAAAAAACAGCCCAGGTGGAGATCTCAAGACAGAGCCAAGGACACATGCCAGGGATGGAAAGTTCCAGAATAGAGAACAAAGGGGAGAGGTAGGAGATGAGGTTGGCGAGAAGACATTGAGGGGAGTTCACAACTCACAGTGCCACTTCCTCAGCAGGTGGGAGTGGTAGGTGAATGTGCTGGTCCATGAGTCCTGGTTCACTGGAGAAGAAAAGGTTTAGCTAATAGTCTCCAGAAGGTTCTCTTTGCTCCTTAGTCTCCTGTAGCACACCAATGTATAGGCTGAGACATGGGCGAAGGTCTCCCCTGACTGCTGTGTGTGTGTGCTGAGCAGACTCTGCAGGACCCTTGGAGCCCAGGAAGCCTGTATTTTCTGGGAAGGTCAATGAACAGCACAGGTCAGGGGGATGTCACCCCTGATTTGTGGCAGATCAACTCCTAATTCTGCCTGAGTTTCTTCATCTGTCAAATGGAATTTGTTCTTGGACTGGTGAGGATGCAGTGAGATGGGCAAGTGAAATGTTTGTCCCAGTGCCTGACACACAGTAAGCACTCATCACATGTCAGCCACTGTGGTACAGGGAACAGGTACAAGCAGGACTGTTGGGTGTTGCCCTCTGGCCCATGGGCAAAACTGCTGGGTCCCCTGTGTCACTCTGGTCCTCTCTCCCCAGGGTCACTTTCCTCCGAGAGCTATTCAGATCATGCAGAAGAAGCCTTCCTGGAGGACAGAGGATGAGATCCGGGCCGTCTGTAACATCTTGCAGGTTCTGGATAGCTATCAGAACTTTGAGGAGCCCCTACAGCTGCTCCTGGCCAAAGTCATGCGCTTTGAACGGTCAGTGTTGGGTACAGCCCTTGGCCACCAGGCTGAGGCTAGTCTGAGCCAAAGACCCTGGCTCAGGTGTGGACAGGTCCTTCCCACCCCTCTGTATAGCGTCAGCCATAAAGTCTTCTGTCCATTCACTTTAGTTGCCCCCTACTATGGTCGCAGCACCATTTATCTAACTCACTTATTGAGACTCTTAGAGAATTAAAGGCCATTATATCTGGAGAGGATCTAGTAGGAACCTCAGAGAGGATCTGGTCCAATTCCCTCCTTTTTCAGATGAGGAAACAGGCTCTCTGGGGAAAAATGGTCCCTTCTAGGTCACCCAGACAATAAGAAGTAGAGCTGAAACTCAAATTTAAGCTCTAAAAGTCAGGATGGATCACAGTTGATTGTACCATATCTAAGTAGGCACTAGCACACGGTCTGTGAACTTGAATGAGAAATGTCGCTATTTCCATTAACCTCTAGGTGAAATTATTATTTCCTTCAGTCATGAATATAGGCAACAAACCACTGTCATATTAGCTGTCCCTGTGACTTTTTCACTGAAAGAAATCACAGATATTTTCATATCATATTCAAGTTACAGATTTCTCAAAAAATTTATGTTTATCACATCTTCAAAATTATGGTAGTTACTAGATCTGCTGCTAGATCTGTTATTCAGTGTCTTAATAAAGATACAAATATATTGCTCTATCACAAATTTGGTTTAAAAAAGTTTGTTAACTGTAATTATACTGGATTTTATTTTCTACATTTAAAACATTATTCTGTGTATGCTTTACCAGATCGTCAAATGGTCCATGATACAAGAAGTGCCATGTAAATGCCATATACTAGAAAAGTGTAAGAGGTACATGTGGAAATACTGCCATTTCCAGGCTGTCTCAATGGCTTCAAGAGGGGCAGCCTAGCAGAATAATTGGGGTAAGGCTTGTCTTGAAAATAGAAGATATGTCTGGGCACAGTGGCTCATGCCTATAATCCCAGCACTTAGGGAGGCCAAAGCGGGAGGATCACTTGAGCACAGGAATTAACCAGCCTGGACAACATAGTGAGACCCCATCTCCACAAAAAATTTTTTAAGAATTAGGTGGGCGTGGCAGTGGTAGTGGCAAACACCTGTAGTCCCAGCTACTTCAGAAGCTGATGCTGGATCACTTGAGCCTGAGAGATTGAGGCTGCAGTGAGCCATGATTGTGCCACTGGACTCCAGCCTGGGCAACAGAGCAAGACCCTGTCTCAAAAAGGAAAAAAAAAAAAAAAAAAAAAAAAAGAGGCTGGGTATAGTGGCTCACGCCTGTAATCCCAGCACTTTGGGAGGCTGAGGCGGGCAGATCACGAGGTCAAGAGATCAAGACCATTTTGGTCAACATGGTGAAACCCATCTCTACTAAAAATATAAAAATTAGCTGGGCGTGGTGGTGTGCGCCTGTAGTCCCAGCTACTCAGAAGGCTGAGGCAAGAGAATTGCTTGAACCCGGTAGGTGGAGGTTGCAGTGAGCCAAGATCATGCCACTGCACTCCAGCCTGGTGACAGAGCAAGACTCTGTCTCAAAAATTTTTTTTAAAAAAAGAAAATCCAAGATTTAAGGTGACTATAGGTTTGTACCCTAATATCTTCCTTTATGGAAACCACAGTCTAAGGCATAAGTACAACTAACTACAGATTTTCAGACCCTTTGTGATCAGTGCAGATGTTCCCAGCTGGCTTGGTCAAGAGTTTCATAGAAGTTATGTTTGACAGGTAGAAATGTAGATGAGGACATTCCAAGCAGAGGGGACCATTTGCTTTGTTCTAGCCCAGTGATGAAGTGTGAGTCATCACTGTCTATAAAGTAAGATTCTATGCCAGGCAGAGTGGTATCATGGAAAGAAAAAAGAATTGTGGCACTAGAAGCTCTGGAGTTTTTGTTGTTTTTGTTGACAGGGTCTTGCTCTGTCACCCAGGCTGTAGTACAAGGGCATGGTCAAAGCTCACTGCAGCCTGGACTTCCCAGGCTCAAGTGATCTTCCTGCCTCAGCCTCCAGAGTAGCTGGGACTACAGGCACACCACACCCAGTTATTCCTTTTAAATTTGTTTTTAGTAGAGATGAGTTTTTTCTATATTGCCCAGTCTGGTCTTGAACTCCTCAGCTCAAGCTACCCTCCTGTCTCAGCTTCCCAAAGTGCTGAGATTACAGGTGTGAGCCACTGTGTCCAGCTGAAACTCTGGAATTTAATACCTCATGTGCCCCATGTGACCTCAGGCAAGCCACTTAACCTTTCTGAGCCCAGTATCCACATCAGTGAAATAAGGATAATATAGATTTTATGAATTTTATTAAGGATATCAATAAGATTTGGGGGAAGATCAATTAAGGTGGTTATTGTGAAAGACCTCTGCTAGTTGTGGTTTATTTCTGGGACTGGGAATTAGCATCTTAGATAGGATTCTTCCAGTTGCAAGTATGTGAAAACCCAGCTTATGGGAACGCATTCATGGCTCTTGTATCTGCAAAGTCCTGGGACAGTTCTCCAGCTTCAGGCTGGCTGGAATTCATGGGCACCGTGTCTACCTGTTTCTCTCTATCTCTTGGCACGTTGTTCATATAAGCCTCATCCTCCGCCAGCTCTCCCCTCATAGTGGTGAGATGGCTGCCACAGTCTCAGCTCCAAACTTATCTTTTTAGTTTTAGTCTGATGGAAAGAAAGAAAAAGTCTTTCAATCACTCTCATCAGAGCTTGGGATGAATTCTTTCTGAACCAGCTTGGCTTTGCTTGAATTATCACTGAGGTCAGTGATGCTCTCTGATTGAGAGTTGAGGAAGGGTAGTTTCCCCAAAGGATAATCAGGCTGTGGTTGGTTGAAAAATGTGACCAGAATGCTTGACAGCAAAAGCAACAGATGTCTGCTCTCAAAGATTCAGGTTCTAGTGTTGACTTGATTATGGCTTGCTTTGACCTTCAGCAAGCTGCAGGCTCCTTGAGTCCCCCTTTCCCCGTCCCAAAAGTGTTGGTTGAACTTGATAGTCTCTGAGGGTCTTTCTGTCTCTAACTCTAGTCATCTTTACTCAATGAACACTGACCTGTGCTCCCTCATCTTCAAAATATCATTTCCTAGCTGAATATTCCTGCTGTCTCCCAGCTGGTCATCGTCACCTGGGCTATCTCTTTCTTTTTTGATATTATTATTATTTTTTGAGATGGGTCTTGTCATGTCAACCAGGCTTGAATGCAGTGGTGCAATCACAGCTCACTGCAGCCCCTACCTCCCAGGCTCATGTGAGCTTCCCACATCAACCTCCTTACTAGCTGGTGTCACCATTCCTGGCTAATTTTATTTTTTATATTTTGTAGAGACAAAGTCTCATTATGTTGCTCAGGCTGGTCTTGAACTCCTGAGCTCAAGTGATTCTCCCACCTTAGCTTCCCAAAATGCTGGGATTACAGATGTGTACCACTATGCCTGGCCTGCCTCTTTCCTATGTTGATAAAGATTCTGGGCTGATACTTGTTTGTAGCTCATCAAGCCCACAGCCAGAATGGAGCCTGGGCAGTACTGACTCCAGGCTAGCGTGGTCCTCTGTCCATCCCCTGATCCCTTCCCTTAGGAGTTTGCCACAGAATCATGAGGCCAGTGGGTGCTCTAAGAGGTCAGAAGAGGAGATGTTGCTGGGGGCTGGGTCAGGCAAGGCTTCCTGGAGGAAGTAGCATTTGAGTTCCTAAAAGGATCTGAATAGTGAAGAAGAGAGGGAAGACCATTCCAGGCAGGGGAGCAACATGAACAAACTGATGAAACAAAGGGCGTATCATTCACCCTGAGCAGGGTGTTAGTTCCCCTGCTGCTGGTCAAGCCAACGAGTCAGGAAGGAACAGAAGGTAGCAGTGTGAGGGGAGGAGGAAGAGGAGGACCTGCTGAAGGCAGGGCCATGAGCTCAGAGTTGGGGGAGATGGCCCTGCTATCAGGGCACTTTCACAGTGGCTGCTCATCTGTCCTGGCAGAGACTAAAGGGCAGACTTTTTGGCTCCCCATTGTCTCCTGGGTAAAAGCCAAACTTAGCTGGGCTTTGAAGGCCCTTTATGGTGGGACAGTTGAATTTCTCTCCTACCACTCCCCTGACCTTGCCTTCTTCTCCCATTTTCCTTTCCCATGAAGTACACATTATCTATGAAGTGCACAGTATTCCTTGAGTGTGTCATACTTCGGGCCACCTCTGTACCTTTGGTCATGGTAGTCCCTGTGCCTGGTACCCTCTTCCATCTCCTTGTCCACCTGGATGACTCACTCCAGGTACCATGCTAGAGCCTTGTCTGACCTTCCTAAGCTGGGATAAAGGCCCCTTCTCTGCGCTCCCCAAATAGCCTGCACTGACATCTCTTAAAGCACTTCAAAACCTCATTTACATCCTATATGTGACCATAATTTTGAAAACAAAGTCTATGTTGTTCACTGTGCCTATTTTTAAATTTTTTTTGAGACAGAGTCACCAGGCCAGATGCAATGGTGTGATCATGGCTCACCATAGCCCTAAACTCCCAGGCTCAGGTGATCTTCCCACCTCAGCCTTTCAGGTAGCTGGGACTACAGGTATGCATCACCACACCTGGTTACTCTTTGCATTTTTTGTAGAGATGGGGTTTCACCTTGTTGCCCTGGCTGCTCTCAAACTCCTAGGCTCAAACGATCCTCCCACCTTGGCCTTCCAAAGTGCTGGGATTACAGATGTGTATCACCACACCTGACCTCACTGTGCCTAACAGACACAGTTGATATTTATTTAACTTGCTGAATGAATGAAGGAAATGAATAAAGATTGAAAGAATTGAGATTTGGACTTGCATATGAAATACAGAAACTTCCCTTTGAGTTTAAGAACTCCTTGTTTGCTCTGGACCTGGGCACCTCTACCCTAAGGGTGCCCAGCTGGGTAGTGAGCTGCTGGTAATTATGATGAGACCATTATCTGTGTCTCATTCTAGGTATACTCATCTGCATTTTACAGGCAAGAGAAACCAAGGATCAGTGAGGGGATGTCCATTGCTCAGTGTCAGACAGCTAACAGCAGAGCCAGGATTTGGATCCTGGACTAATGCTAAAGCCAATCCTTCTACTTGTTTAGCGACTCTAATAACCCATTCATTGCTTTCAGCATGGGTTCACTCATTTATTCCAATATGTTCACTGAGCCTTCACTGTGCCAAAGCACACACAGCAGCAACCCAGACCAGCAAACGCTCTGCTCTCAAGAAGCTTCATTCCAACCGAGGCAGGCAATGGGATAAATGTCAGTGAAAGGCTCTAGCTTGATTGGCAGGGCTGGGCTGTCCTGAGGGCCTTTCTGGTACAAATCTGTTCTCTTATACCCCAGAGCAAAGAGCACAACCAGTCCAGAGCTCCTCCCAGTGTGGCCTGGCCCCTGTGTCACTACCCAATCAACTGGCAATAGTTTTTTCCCAGGTTTGGTCGCAGGCGTGTGATCATCAAGAAGGGGCAGAAGGGCAACAGCTTTTATTTCATCTACCTGGGCACAGTTGCAGTGACCAAGGATGATGACGGCAGCAGTGCCTTCCTAGATCCACACCCTATATTGCTGCACAAGGGTGGCTGTTTTGGGGTAAGCCCAGGGGAAGGACCTGGCTTCCTGGGGTGGAGTGGGTGGAGGTGACAGGACTCCTGCTAGAACCTCTCAGCCAGGCCCAGTATTGCCTAGTACTTTGTGCACATCACTGTCCTGTGTGGGCCCCAGTACCCTTACCTGTCAAATGCCAATTGAGTTGGACCAAGATCAGCCTCTTCATCTGTGATGTTTAAGGAGTATGTTCCTGATATAGCCCTTTAGAGACGCAGTGATTCCACAGCGAGGCCTCTCCAGCTTCTTACCCTCTGGCCTGTTCAGGCCTGTTGCCTCTTTTTCCATAAGCAGCAGATTAAGAAGAAGGGGAGTGGGCCCCAGTGGAAGAATGTGCAGGAGGACAGAGGGAGCTGGGGAACATGCAGTCTGGGGAGGAGAGAATTCAGGGGGAAGATGGAGGCAGGGAAGAGGTGTGTAAGGCTGAGAACAGGAAGTGGAGGTGGCTTCACACTTGCCCTTGCCCTGTCCACCCAACAGGAAATGGGCCTTCTGGATGCTTCACTGAGGAGGGCCACCGTTGTCTGTATGGAAGAAACGGAGTTCCTGGTTGTTGACAGGGAGGACTTCTTTGCTTATAAGCTGGACCTGGAAGTTCAGAAGGATGCTCAGTGTCGGTTTGAATTTTTTAGGTAACTCTACCTTCATTCAACATTTTTTTTCCCTTATGTGTTATTAGGTGCTTGACTTTGTCCGTCCTAGGCCTGGTGGGAAACATACTGGTTGCTGTTCTGTCTTGGATGCGCTGAAGTTCCATCTCCCACCGGGACTGGTGGGAGAAGAATAGCAAACACGGGACTGGTCACAGTGGCTTACTCCTGTAATCCCAGCACTTTGGGAGGCCAAGGTGGGAGGACACTTGAGCCCAGGAGTTCAAGATCAGCCTGGGCAATATAGTGAGATCCTGTCCCTACAAAGTAAAAAATTTTTAAAAAATTAGCTGAATGTGGTGATACATACCTATAGTTTCAGCTACTTGGGAGGCTGAGATGGGAGGGTCACTTGGGCCTAGGAGTTCAAGGCTGCGGTGAGTTGTGATCACATCACTGCACTCCAGTCTGGGTGACAGAGCACTGTTCTAGTAGCTAGGACTACAGATACGCTGCTACATTCGGCTAATTTTTCTATTATTTGTAGAGATGGAGTCTTGTTATGTTTCCCAGGCTCATCTTGAACTCCTGGTCTCAAGTGATCCTGCAGCTTTGGCCTCCTAAAGTGCTAGGATTACAGATATGAGCCCCTATGCCCAGACTGAACTATAATTCTTTTTCTTTTTTGAGACAGGGTCTTGCTCTGTCGCCCAGACTGGAGTGCAGTGGCGCAATCTCAGCTCACTGCAACCTTCACCTCCTGGGTTCAAGCAATCCTTCTGCCTCAGCCTCCCACATAGCTGAAATTACAGGCATGCACCATCACTGCTGGCTAATTTTTTGCTATTTTTAGTAGAGACAGAGTTTCACTGTGTTGGCCAGGGTCTTGAACTCCTGACCTCAAGTGATCTGCCTGCCTCGGCCTCCCAAAGTGCTGGGATTACAGGCATAAGCCACCGTGCCTGGCCCAAACTATTATTCTTGATTGCATAGTAATTTATTTACAGTTTATATGCCCCCTCAGACAATAAACAATATGGTGACAGGGACCAGCTCTGTCTTTGTCACTACTGTAATCCTTATGTTGTCACACTGCCAGACACATGCAGGTGCTCAACAAATAAATACTGAGTAAGGTGAATAACAGGATATAAATAATTACAACCACGTGTGAGTCAGAAAGTAAGCACCATAACTATGGGTATTACATTTAACCTAAAAGCAGAACTCATACATAGCAAAAAATTTTTGTTTTTCAAATACTTATGTATATGAAAGGCCGCATAAGGATATACAAATGAAATCTCATTTAATTACTCTTTAGTTATTTGCCTTTATGTAAAAGAGTAAAAATCCAACAAAGTATCTGCACTGGCTCTGAAAATTCAGGTTGTAGGGCTGCATAGCTACAGAGAGGTCTGGTTCCTGTGGTTGGGGCTGAAAGAGGTAGTTCTATTCCCTGGAAAAGTGGGGATTTAGTCCTAAAGGGAGAAGCTGTTCTTTTTTTTTTTACTGTGAAAAAATAGGTCTGGCTCCAATCTCAGCTCTTAGGTTATCAGCAATGTGACCCTGGATAGGTCATGTCATTTTTCTGTGCTTTAGCCTCCTGCTCTGTAAAATGGGGATAAGAATACCCTTCTCCCAAGGCCATGGTGAGGATGGAATGGGATGATCATAGGAAGTATGTAGCACAGTGGTTGGTGTATGGTAGGTACTCCTTCTATGGTGGCCCTACTTTTCTTCTGGTGTCTCCAGACCTTTGTCCCAGGCATGGTACTGTGTTCACCTCTGGTGCCAGGTGCACATTGAGGCCTGAGTCACCTTGAGTTAACCTGATATAACAAACTCAGTCCACCTGAGTCAGTTAAGTTTGGAGTCCTTAACCTGTTGGAGGTGAGAAAATCTGAGATGATTGTTGTCAACCCTTGGAGCCACATATGAAGGCAGGCAAGCCTGTGAAGGTGGTGGTCAAGGCCAGGGGAAGGGCAGTCACTGTGGGGTGGTCTCAACCATGGGGAACAACAGGCAGAAAGAGGGGAGTCCAGACATGTGCTCCTCCCCAGGCCCAGAGCTGAGTATTTGAAGTCAGCAGGCCAGGGGGAGACAGGGGTTGGATGAGCTCCCCAAAGCAAAGGTGGGACCAGAACCACTAAGCTAGGGAACAAAACAGCCATGAGCTGGAGTGGGGACTAGCTTCATGAGCCACAGTGGGGAGGGGCAGCAGGGCTGGAGGAGAAGTTTCTTGGAAAGAGGAGCAGAGGTGAGAAAAGCACAGAGGCTGGATCACCCAGGGGCATCTGAGCAGCAGCAAAGAGGGGAGCTAGGCTGGAAGGGAGGGCCTTGGGAATGGTGGAGAGAGCCAAGGTGATAGTGGCTACAGGTGAGGCCAGGTGATCAGGCAGGTAGCAGTGAATTCTTTCACCTGGTCATCTTCCACTGGAGAAGAACATGTGCTCTCTGCAGATTGCTAAGGTCTGAGCACCTTGTGTGGTGGAGGTGATGAATTCTAACAGGCTTTTCCCACAGGAAGATGGATCTGTTTGCATCATGGTCTGATAAGAAGCTCTGGCAGCTCGTAGCCGTGGCAAAGATAGAGAAGTTCTCATATGGGCAGCTGATCTCAAAAGACTTTGTAGAGTCATCCTTTATCATGTTTATCAGCAAGGTGAGAAGGCTGGAGGTTGGAGTGAGGGTGAACCTCTGAGGAGCATGCCCTAAGATCATGTCCTGTGACCTGATGGTCAGAGTCTGAGCCCCTTTCTGCAGCCTGTGCAATTCACTCCCTTTTCTGAGTTTTCATGTCCCAGCTTTAAGATGCCTGCCTCTCTCAGAGTGTGGCTGGAGACATTAAGATACGTGGCAATTGGGCTTGGTGGCACCTGCCTTTAATCCCAGCTACTCAGAAGGCTGAGGAAGGAGAATCACTTGAACCAAGGAGGTGAAGGTTGCAGTGAGCTGAGATTGCACCACTGCACTCCAGCCTGATGGGAGCAAGACTCCATCTCAAAAAAAAAGAAAAAATCATGTGAGTGTGAGAAATAGAACAGTATATCACAGGTCAGATTTAATAACATTGAATTTATTGGGAAGAGACTAGATTGGGATGCAACTTCATTTGTCCAATCATGGTTGAGTTGTTAAGTATAAACTATAATAGTTCAGCCAAAATCCACAAAAGAATTCTGTGAGAGGCCGGGCACAGTTGCTCACGCCTATAATCCCAGCACTTTGGGAGGCCAAGACGGGCGGATCATGAGGTCAAGAGATCAAGACCATCCTGGCCAACATGGTGAAACCCTGTCTCTATTTAAAAAAAAAAAAAAATTCTGTGAGAGCTGATTGGCTGTATGGAATTTCCTGTATGGTATATATATTTTTCATTTTCTTGTATGGTATATTTTATTATTTATAAATTGTGTGTAACACATTCTTTATAACAATAAAGTTTATATACATGCATATGTTTTTCAGGAGAGCTGGTTGTTAAACTTGCCAGCACCACCAGGGGAGTGGTGTATGTGTTGTTATTTTCAACTCAGTCCCAGAGAACAGAATCAAGTCAAGTTAATATAAGTAGCAAAAGATTTATTGCCGGATGTCAATTGGAAGTTCCTTCTCCTCCTTCATATTTGCTTCTTCTTTGCTAAAATTTTGAGGTGATCACCTCTGCCATGTTTCCAAATTTAACTCTAAGCTCTTTGATACTATATAGTCAGGAAAGATGGGGGATGTATGGTGAGGGACAGAAATTCTTTCCAGTATTTTCTTTAAACAGAATAATGATTCCATTCTGACTGGCAGAAAGTTGGGGGTGGATCTTCATCTGTTTTGCCTCCATTGCTTCATCCATGAAATGGAACTACTCACCCTGTAAAGTCTGTTTAAGGATGAGAATCAGTTTAGCAAATGTTTCCTCAGTGAGCATTCCTCCCGCAATCCAGTGGTTCTCAAAGTGCTGTGACTGGACCAGCAGCAGCACCAGCAGTACTTGGGAACTCATTATTATTTCTTCCTTCTCCTCCTCCTCCTCTTCTTCTTTTTATTTTTTATTTTTTTTATTTTTTAAGACAGGGTTTCACCATATTGGTCAGGCTGGTCTTGAACTCCTGACCTCAGGTGATCCGCCCACCTCAGCCTCCCAAAGTGCTGGGATTACAGACGTAAGCCACCGCGCCTGGCTTTCTTCTTCTTCTTCTTTCTTCTTCCTCTTCTTCTTCTTCTTCTTCTCCTTTTTCTCCTTCTTTCTTCTTCCTCGTCCTCTTCTTCTTCTTTTTTTTTTTTTTGAGATGGAGTTTCACTCTTGTTGCCCAGGCTGGAGTGCAATGGCATGATCTTGGCTCACTGCAACCTCTGCCTCCCAGGTTCCAGTGATTCTCCTGTATCAGCCTCCCAAGTAGCTGGGATTACAGGCGCCTGCCACCACACACGGCTAATTTTTGTATTTTTAGTAGAGACAGGGTTTCACCATGTTTGCCAGGCTGGTCTCGAACTCCTGACCCTCATGTGTTCAGCCTGCCTCAGCCTTCCAAAGTACTGGGATTACAGGCATGAGTCACCGTGCCCAGCTGGGAACTCATTTCAAAATGCAAATTCTCAGGCCCCCCAAGAGCTACTCAATCCATAACTCTAGGAGGAAGGGCTCAGTGATCTGTGTTTTAATAAGGCTTCCAGGTGATTCTAAAGGACATTGATTTATGAGAACCTCTGCCCTAAGGGAGGAATTCTCAAATTTTGGTAACCATACAAATACATAGGGTGTTTTTTAAAAAGGCAGATTGCTGTCTCACCCCAGAGATTGATTCATTAACTCTGGAATCTGCAGTTGAGTAAGTGCTGCAGGGGATTCTAATGCAGGTGTGCTGAGCCTTCATTCTGAGAAACATAATGTGGAAGTCACTAAAGGACAGCAAGGTAGGGCGCTCTTGGCCAGAAGATGAGTCTAGTTTGTTCTTTACAGTGTTTTGTAAAGTCTGATTTAATCATCAATGTGAAGATTTTACATAAAAATTCTGATTTCTGGCTTTTGAGAATTCAGAGGATCAGGTAACACTAAACCATATTTTGGTACAGCCCCCACCTCTGGCTGGAAATGAGAAGCACCAGCTCCCTCTAAAGGACTGCTCTTTTCTTTTTTTTTTTTTTTTTCCTGCTTGGTCAGCATTTTGAGTGTTCATCTCTGGAAGGAGATCAAGCTGTCCCGACTCTTGTCGTTAACTCATATTGCCACTAGAGGGCAAAATCAGCTGCGGGTGGCTGGACACCCTAGGGACCTCTGAAAGCTGGAGATTTCCTTTTGGCATCGAAAACTTAATGCCCACTATCAACTCATTTCTAACAGTTTATCATTGAGGGACACATAGTGGAACTGTCTTCTCCATAGATACAATTGAAGACTCACTAAATACTTGAGGAAACCAGGCTCATGTTGTTTCTCTGGGACCTGCAGTTCCTCTGCGTCTAAAAAAAAAAAAAAAAAAAAAAAAAAGGATGCATAAAGATTTCAAATCTAAACTTTACAGCTTCATAAATTTTTATATATGTATACACCTGTGTGATCATTGCCCAAATCAAGATAAAGAACATTTCCACTACTCCAGAAGGCTCTCTTGTGCTCCTTCCTAGACAAAATCCCCCCACAAAGCTTAGCACTCATGACTTTTGCATGTTTTTGAACTTCATATAAATAGAATCATACAGTGTGGACTCCTTGTGTCTGACTTCTTTTGCCCAACTGAATATTTGTTATTTTTAATTTTATAAATTATAGTGTACATAGAATAATATGTAACACTTAAAAATGATACTATACAACCATATTGTTTGGCATGAAAAGAGGTCTTTGATATGTTATTGAGTTTCTAAAAAAATTACAAGAGTCTGTTTTACATACATGAACTCATTGATAAAAGATTGTAGATATACATCTTTTTTTTCTCTCTCTGATGCTTGGGAAGATATACATCTTATATGTTCATAGAGAAAAGTTTGAAATAATTTTCACTAATATGTTACTACTGGTTATTTCTGTGTGTCAGGATTAATGCAGTTTTTACTTTCTCTATGTTTTTCTGTTTGGTCTGAATATTTTTAAACTTAATTTTGGAATAATTTTAAATTTGTAGAAAAATTATGAGAACAGTACAAAGAACTTCTGTTGCTGGGACTACAGGCATGCGCCACCACGCTCAGCTAATTTTTTTTTTTTTTTTGAGAGGGAGTTTTGCTTTTGTTGTCCAGGCTGGAGTGCAATGGTGCAATCTCAGCTCACTGCAACCTCTGCCTCCCCAATTCAAGCGATTCTCTTGCCTCAGCCTCCCGAGTAGCTGGGATTACAGGCATCTGCCACCACACCCGGCTAATTTTGTATTTTTAGTAGAGACGGGGTTTCTCCATGTTGGTCAGGCTGGTCTCGAACTCCTGACCTCAGGTGATCCACCCACCTTGGCCTCCCAAAGTGCTGGGATTATAAGCATGAGCCACCGTGCCTGGCTTAATTTTTGTATTTTTAGTAAAGACAAAATAATTTTGTATTTTTGCTGTGTTGGCCAGGCTTGTCTTGAACTCCTGGGCTCAAGTGATCTTCCTGCCTCAGCCTCCCAAAGTACTGGGGTTACAGGTGTGAGCCACTGTGCCTGGCTTTTATTTAGTTCTTATGCTTCTTCAGTTACTTGAACTTATTATGGTGAGTGTAAGGTTTATTCTCTGTAAGGTTTATTGCCGAGTTTAAAATGAGGAAACTGAGGCCTGCATGAGAACAATTAGACGCCAATTTATTTGGCTCCCCGGGCGAGGTTCTATGGTCCAGGGAAAAGGGGCCAGAGAAGTCGCAGGCGTGGGGGCTGTATAGGGAGGGAAGATGCTCTGATTGACTATGGAGGAAGAGGACGGGGACGTGGCAAGCTGCTATAGGTAGGTAGGTGGGATTTCCGGTGAGTGGGCTGGATGGGGCAATGTGCTATTGGGCAGGTTTTGGCGGGGCTTCTTTTAAATTTTGGTGGGGTTTTCCAATGGCTGGCTAGGTGCCGAGTGCAGAGTTTAGTGTTGAGTGCAGAGGTGGGCCTGGTGAAGCTGGATGCTGAGTGGTGACGTAATTTTCAGGCGTGGAGAGGGATGAGCATGTCCGAGCTCCCGGCGAGGCAACTGGCCTTACAGTGGGTAAATAACACTTTCATTAAAAAATAAAAATAAAAACAGAACCAGGGTGGGTGTGGTGGCTCATGCCTGTAATCCCAGCACTTTGGGATGTTGAGGCAGGCAGATCACTTGATGTCAGGAGTTCAAGACCAGCCTGGCCAACATGGGGAAACCCTGTCTCTACTAAAAATACAAAAATTAGCCAGGCATGGTGGCACATGTCTATAATCCCAGCTACTCTGGAGGTTGAGGCAGGAGAATCACTTGAACTCAGGAGGCAGAGGTTGCAGTGAGCCGAGATTACCCCATTACACTCTATCCAGCTTGGGTGACAAAGTGAGACTCCATCTCAAAAAAAAAAAAGAACCCGAAACCACTTGCATTAAGCAAATAAAACAAAATGAGATAAGATGCAATTCAGAGAAATTTTCTTCAAATCCTGGCCTGCTTGAAGCCTTAGGGATTAACCCTTTTGCTGTGTCTGTTGCTATTTCCAGGGCAGCTGTGAAGTCCTGCGGCTGTTGGACCTTGCTGCCTCCCCTTCCTACCACAAGTGGGTCTGGCAGCACCTGGAGCTGATCGATGACAGGCCTCTGATGACCACCCTACGTGGTAAGCTGCCTAGCCCGTCTGACAGCAGGGGGCGCCTGGGCCCGTCCTGTTTTCAGTTCCCAGTCCATAAACCTTAGACTAAATCTAGAGCCAGCTGGCCTCACAGGGTATCTCATCTGCGCCCTTCCGTGGAAACCAGGGTATCTCATCAGCACCCAGCCATGGAAACCTGGTCTGCAAGGCCTCCCCTCCTTTCCAGTCTCTCTCTCTCTTTTTTTATTTTTAGCCTTTTCCCTTTTGCTTTTCAGGTTCTTTCACATGACCATCAACTCCTTGCCTCACATATCCCCTGCCCTTTTTTTCACCCAGCTCTCTTCTGCTTTTTAAAATTTGTTTATTTATTTATTCATTCTGTCTCTGGGTTTGCCTCTGATGGACTTTTCATATAAATAGCACAATACATTATGTGGCTTTTTGAGTCTGACTTCCTTCACTGAGCACCATGTTTTCAAGGTCCATTTATGTTACAGCACATATCATTTCTTCATTCTGTTTTATGGCTGAATAATATTCTAATGTATGCATATACCATACATTATGCATGTTTGTCCACTTATCAGTTGATGAACATTTGGATTGTTTTCACTTCTTGGCTGTTTTAAAATGTTGCTGTGAACATTTGTATACAAGTTTTTATGTGAACATATTTTTCAGTTCTCTTGGGTATTACTTACATGCCTAGGAGTGGAATTTCTGGGTCATATGGTATCTTAGTCCATTTGCCATTTCTATAACTAAATATCTGAGACTGGGTAACTTATAAAGAAAATAAATATTATTCTTATAGTTCTGGAGGCTAGGAAGTCTGAGGTTGAGGGACTGCATCTGGTGAGGGCCTTCTTGCTGGTGGGGACTCTTCAAAGTTCTAAGGCAGCAAAGGGCATCTCATGGAGAAGAAGTGCTTCTGTTTCTGAGATGTTAGACTACACATCTTTCCTTGGAGAAGTCTTCCTGGTTTCTCATGCTGGACCAGATCTTCCATCCTCTGTTATGTCCCATTCAAGTACCATTCAAGTACTCTTCTGTTTTGTGTAACCCCACTGAAATAATATAACCGAGTCTGAAATGGCTATTAAACATTTGTTTCCATAGCTAGAATATAAGCTCTATAAGGGCTTTGCATTCCCAGGGCCTCGTATCATGCCTGTCATCTAGTAGATGCTCAGAAGCGAATTACAGGGTTAATGGATAAACATATTTCTGCTGCTGTGTGTGATTTGGATGCATCTTCAGGCTGCAAATGTGTGTGCACTCTCCACAGCCTTAACCAAACTCATGTATCTAGTAACAGGTATGAAAACAGTGATCATTTATTGAATTCTGATTGTAGGTTTATTATATTGAGCTTGATTGTTTATACATATTGCATAATTCTCATAATAACTCTTTTTTTTTTTTTTTTTTTTTTTTTTTTTTGGAGACAGAGTCTTGCTGTGTTGCCCAGGTTGGAATATAGTGGTGCAATCTCAGCTCACTGCAAACCTCCAGCTCCCAGGTTCAGGTAGTTCTCCTGCCCCAGCCTCCCGAGCAGCTGAGATTACACGGACATACCACCATGCCCAGCTAATTTTTGTATTTCTAGTGGAGACGGGGTTTCACCATGTTGGCCAGGCTGGTCTTGAACTCTTGACCTTAAACGATCTGCCCGCCTCAGCCTCTCAAAGCGCTGGAATTATAGGCGCGAGCCACTGTGCCTGGCCTAATAACTCTTTAAGAAGGTATGATTGTACCATTTGACACATGAGGAAACTGGCTTATAGGGCAAATAAGTAGCAATGTAGGACTGTAGAGTTGGGATTCTAACCCAGGCGCAACTGGTTCCAAAGCCCAGACTTCTTTCTCTTCATAAACGTCTCCAGCCTTCCTCAATCTCCATTTGCTTTTGTTGATCACAGACATTGTCAAGTAGCAGCCTCTAGAACTGGCCAGGGTGATAACCAGGCTTCCTGATTCTGGGGTATATTGTTTCCATTCACAACTCTGTATTGGCATTTTAATTTACGTTTTTCCCCTTCCATCCTCTGCACATCTTTTTGTCTCACCCACTTGGGTCAAGAACCCCAGCCCTCAACAGACATTTGCAGTGACTCAGGTGTCTTACCTCTTACCTTGTGCTCACTACTGGTGTGCTTGCCCCACATCCCTTGAAATTGTAATCTGTGTATCCTGGGCCCTCCTCCCCAAGGATTGCCTTACAAATACAGCCAGTCCTCCTGAGATTAGAACTGAGGCCAACACAGGGAGGCAGAGGAGAAGGGTGGAAAAAGGAGAGGTTGGAGCTGAACAGAGCTGGGTTTGAATCCCACGTATTAGCTGGGTAACTGGCGAGTGCTTAAAGCCTCTAGGCCTGGTTTCTTCATATTTACCTTGGGTAGTGTCGTGGTTAGGAGCATAGGCTCAAAGCCCACTGCTTGTGTTTGAATACAGGGTCCTTCTCTTACTAGCGATGTGATACTGGACAAGTGACTCTATGTCCACTTGTACCAGTGCCCTCAGAGTCTGTAAAATGTAAATAATGGTCTCTACCTCATAGTATTGTAATGACATTAAGCAAATTAATATATGAAACTCTTAGATGTTTGTTGTCACTATCACACAGGCTACTAGGAAGGCTGAGATGATATTAGCATGAGGCCTTATAAGTACTTGGTAAATGTTTCTTCTCATGTCAGTTCTTGTTTCTCCCTTTTCCACTGTCAAGCCACCAGAGAAAAAGCTGCATCCCACAAAATTTTGATATGTTATGTTTTCATTGTTATTCACTTCAAAATATCTTTAAATTTCCCTTTTGATTTCTTCTTTGACCCATGGAATATTTAGAAGAGTGTTTAGTTTCCAAACATTTGGGGGATTATCCAGCTATCTTTGTTACTGATTTCTTTTTTCTTTTTCTTTTCTTTTTTTTTTGAAAAGGAATGTCGCTCTGTTGCCCACGCTGGAGTGCAGTGGTGTGATCTCGGCTCACTTCATCCTCCACCTCCAACCTCTTCTTTTTCTACCCTTCTTCTCTGCCTCCCTGTGTTGGCCTCAGTTCTAATCTCAGGAGAACTGGCTGTATCTGTAAGGCAGTCCTTGGGAAGGAGGGCCCAGGATACACAGATTACATTGATCCTGGGTTCAAGCAATTCTCCTCCCTCAGCCTCCCAAGTAGCTGGGACTACAGGCGCCACCACACCTGGCTAATTTTTGAATTTTTAGTACAGGCGGGGTTTTGTCATGTTGGCCAGGCTGGTCTCAAACCCCTAACCTCTGGTGATCTGCATGCTTTGGCCTCCCAAAGTGCTGAGATTACAGGCGTGAGCCACCGTGCCAAGCCTGTTATTGATTTCTAAGATAACATACTTTATATGATTTGAATCCTCTGAAATTTATTAAAACTTGTTTTGTGGATCAGAATATAGTCTATCTTGGTAAATGTTTCATTTGCATTTAAAAAAACATTCTGTTTTTGGGTGCAGTGTACTATGAATGTTAAGTAGGTAAAGTTGGCTGATAGTATTGGTCAAGTCATCTGTACCCTTATACCTTTCTGTCTGCTTGCTCTATCAATTGTTAATAGAGGCCGGGCATGGTGGCTCACATGTATAACCTCAGCACTTTGTGAGGCTGAGGCGGGTGGATCGCCTTAGGTCAGGAGTTCAAGACCATCCTGGCCAACATATCGTCTCTATTAAAATAATACAAAAATCAGCTGGATGTAGCAGTACATGCCTGTAGTCCCAGCTGCTTGGGAAGCTGAAGCAGGAGAATTACTTGAATTTGGGAGGCAGAGGTTACAGTGAGCCAAGATCACACCACTGTACTCTAGCCTGAGTGACAGAGCAAGACTCTGTCTTTAAAAAAAAAATTGTTAACAGAGTTGTTAAAATTTCTAGCTATAATTGTAGATACACTTTTCTCCTTGTATTTCTGTTTTGCCTCATATATTTGAAGCTCTTTTATTATATGCTTAGCTATTTGGGATTGAACTCTTAATCATTATGAAATGAACTTCTTTGTCCCTGGTAATATTCTTTGCTCTGAAACCTACTTTTTCTGATATAAATTCAGCCACTTTTGATTTAAAGTAGCTTCCTTTTGATTAGCATTAGTTTGGTATATCTTTTTCCATCCTTTTGTGTTTAACCTGTTTGTGTCTTTATATGTAAAAGTGGGTTTCTTAAAGGTAGCATATAATTGGGTCTTAAAAAAATCCTATCTGACAATCTGCCTTTTTATTGAGATGTCTAAGTCATTTACATTTAATGTTAGTATTGATTATGGTTGGATTTTACTTTACCATCTTGTTTTTTTTTTCTATTTGTCACATCTATTCCCTTTTTCTTTTGTTTTTCCCTGTCTTTTGTATTATGTATTTTGTATAATTTAATCTTATTTTCTTTGTTGGCTTATTAGCTGTTTGTGGTATTATTTTCACGGTTGCTCTGTGATCATTGTATATACTTTTAACTTATCACATTCTGCCTTTAAGTGATATTATACCACTTCATGTATAGAATCAGAATCTTACAACATTATATTTCCATTGTGTCCTCCTAGATATTATGCTATTGTGATATATTCTACTTGCATGTATGTTAAAAACCTTACCATATGTGGTTATTACTTTTGCTTTAAACAAGTATCTTTTAAGTATATTTAAATAATAATAAGAAAAGACTCTTATACTAACCTACATAGTTACTATTTTTAATGTTCTTTGTTCCTTTGTATAGATCCAGATTTCTACCAAATACTATTTCCTTCTGCCTGAAGTATTTCCTTTAACCTTTCCTATATTTCAGGTCTGTTAGTGATGAATTATTTCAGCTTTTCTGTGTCTGAAAACTATTTTATCTTCTTTTTTTTTTTTTTAAGAGATGGGGTTTCTCTGTGTTGGTCAGGCTGGTCTTGAACTCCCGACCTCAGTTGATCCACCCACCTTGGCCTCCCAAAGTGCTGAGATTACAGGCGTCAGCCACTGTGCCCAGCCTTTTATCTTCATTTTTGAAAGAAATTTTTGCTGGATATAAAATTCTAGGTTAAGAGTTTTTTTTTTTTTCCCCCCTCACTATTTTAAAAATGTTGCATTCAAGTCTGTTTTCTGGCTTACATTGTTTTCAACAAGAAGTTTTGTTAACATTTTTGTTTATTTATTTATTTATTTTAAAGACAGGGTTTCACCATGTTGGCCAGGCTGGTCTTGAACTCTTGACCTCAGGTGATTCACCCACCTTGGCCTCCCAAAGTGTTGGGATTACAGGAGTGAGCCACCATGCCCTGCTGGAGATCTCTTTTTAATCAATATTATTGTTGAATATGTATATTTTTTCTTGGGAGTGTGGAGTCATGCTCTGTTGCCCAGACTGGAGTGCAGTGGTGCAGTCTCAGCTCACTGTAACCTCTGCCTCCCGGGTTCAAGCGATTCTCCTGCCTCAGCCTCCTGAGTAGCTGGGATTACAGGTACGCACCACCATGCCTGGATAATTTTTTTTTTTT